TTGTGACTGCAAGGAACTTGGGGTCTCAGTAAGCTGTCTGTACCACAGGTCCCCAGGGAGACAGCATGCAGACCAGAGGCGCCCTTCCCAGGAAGAAGGTTGGGCCACAGCAGCTCACCCAGAAAGTTCAGAGGATGTTGCTACCTGAAGTCAGATACCACCTGGGTGCCCCAACACAGGCCGGTAATTTCCACTACTCAGGAGGCTGAGGCAGGAGGATCAAAAGTTCAAGGCCAGCCTGGGCAACTTAGTGAGACTGTCTTAAAGTAAAAAGGGCAGGGGATGTGGCTAGGAGTACTGCCCTGGGTTTAATCCCCAGTACAGCACACATCAAATAAAACAATAGATGTAAAGCAATATAATTTGGAGCGGGCCGGGTGGGAAATGACACTGATCTCCTTTATGTAGTCAAGAATGACCCTGGAATCTAAGTGAAATTTTCTCTCAACCACGGAGCATTCTGAGCCCTTCATAAATGCAAAGAGCCCCTGGATGGGGGAGTGGTCTTGGGTTTGGGGACATGTTGACTGATAAGTTGGATCTGTCCACCGCACTATTTATAGTCCAGGTGTATGAGCCGGGTGTGGTGGCACAGGCCCATAATCCCAGCACTTGAGAGGTTGATCAGGAGCATCACCACAAGTTTGAGGCCCACCTGCGCTACAGTGAGCTCAAGGCAGCCTGAACTGCATAGGGAGCCCCTGTCTCAACAAAACAAAACAAAACTACCAATGGAGTCCAGCCATGTGTAGCCCACAGCCCGAGGGCCGAATGTGTCCCTGGGCAGCTAGTAACGCAGCTCCATAAGACCATAACCTTTTAGCATTATTATGTGATTGCTGGCTTCACTACTGCGGATGGTCCCCAAGGCCTTTGCACTGACCCCCGTTCCCAGCCTCCCTTTATTTTTTATTTGAGCCAGTGTAAGGTTTATATCTAGGTTTCCCCCAAAAGTCTCATGAGCTTGTAGGTGGAGCTTTTGGAGGATTGGACAGTGTTGGCTATAGCTGACCTGCTGTAAGGCGGCGGGGCCTGATTACAGGCAGCCCCTGGGGACATGGCTGGAAGGGTTTATCTGTCTCCCTGGCTCCTCCCTCTCTGCTTCCTGGCTGCCCCCACAGGAGTGGCTCCCCTCTGCCAGGCCCTTTACCATGCCTTCCTGCCCTGGAAACATGAGCCAAAGTAAACTTCTCCTTAAAGCTGTGTTTGGTATTTTGTTTCAGCCACAAGGAAAGTGACTAGGACAGATCCGGTCTTGCTAAATTACCCAGGCTGTACTTTAACCTGTGATCCTCCTGCCTCAGCCTCCCAGAGTGCTGGGATTCTGTATTATGTGATTTTTAGCACATGACTTGATTGCTTGGTGCTGGAGCATGGACTCCACAGCCAAGGATGAAGTGCTGTTTGGGGAGGGCCCTGGCAGTGCCAACTCCACCTTGTAGGGTCCACCGCACTTGGGCAATCAAAATCCAAGACTTCACAAGCGCGTGTGTGACCTAGATAGCAAAACGCAATGATTGCTGATGACAGTACCTCAGCCTCTGCCCATGTGTGTGCCTGTGAAGACAGGCATTTATTCTTAGTAAGCAGGCATGGAGGTGTGGAGGGTGGCTGCTCCTCAGTTGGCCAGCAGCAGGACACCCTTGGTGTGACACCCCCAAGGGTCTCCTCGGGCTGCTTTGGGCTTCCTCACAACATGGTGGCCAGCTTTCAGGACGTGGGTTCCAAGAGCACAAGTTGTAAGTGCCACCCTCATTGTTAGGATCAGGTCTCAGGGGTCATGCAAGGCATTTCCTCTGTGCTCTGTGGGTCCATACACCAGAAAGGTCATTCCAGTCTCGAGCGGTTGGGGTGAGGCCCCTCATCACTGCTCAGTGGGGCTGATGTTAAGGTCACTTATGGAGGGTGTGGACCAAGTGGAGCCCTCACAGAGTGCTGGTGGGGTTTTGAGTGGTGCAGCCTCTTTGGAAATCAGTGTGGCAGTTCCCCAAAAGGTCAAACGCAGAGGTCCCAGGGGCCTAGCAATTGCAGCCCGGGTCTACACCCAAGAGAAATGAGGCCTGATGTCCATTTGGAAACAAACATCCATCCACTGAGACACAAACCAGCATGGCATCGCCATCCAGCGGAACAGCCACAGGGAGGGAGGAGCTTCACTACCCACCGTCACATGGGTGGGCCTCAAAAACACGCTGAGAGAAAGGAGCCAGTCACAAAGAGCACCTATAGGAAGACCCCATTGGCATGAACCACCCAGAAGAGGCAGCCACAGAGGCGGGAAGGCCGGTGGTAGTCCAGAGCTGGTGGGGAGGCAACTGCTAATGCATGTAGGGTTTCTTTTGGGGGGCAATGACGCTCTGTCTCCCCACACCTCGATTTCATTGTCTGTGAAATGGGCTATTTAAGAGTCAAATAAACTCAGCACATCTTTAAGGAATCCGAAGAGGCAAAGCCAGCAGGAGCTGCACACCGGGAGCGCTTGGGTGACAATGTCACAAGCAGCAAGGTGTGAGCCAGATTCCACCTTTTAATCCTCCCCCAGGGCTAATCACTTCCTCTCTAGATCTCGGCTGCAGTAACTGAAAAATGAATTAACAATTGTCTCAGTTACTTTTCTCTTGTTGCTGCGACAAAAAATACCCAACGCCCAGAATTAAAGAAGGAAAGGTGTATTTAGCTCACGGTTTGTGGAGGTGTCAGTCCATACTCGGCTGGCTCCAAGGCAGAGTGGCACGTGGCAGAGGGCAAGAGTTCATGGTGGCGGAAAACAGTGAGAGCAACAAGAGCAAAATGGAGGAGCAGCAGCAGGGAGAGCAAGCCCCTTTCTCTCTCTTACACTGTATGCAAACTACCCACCCCAAGGAGGGTGTAGCACTGACATCCATAATTCCAGCACTGGACCATGGATCAATTATAACTCTAGAAGCCCGCCCCCTGACTGCATGAGGCTCTGGGGGGACATCCGGACACAAACCATGACAGCAATGGTTACCACCTTGTAGGTTGTGCTGACAATGACTTCACAGCTCTGGTACACAGGAGCTGCTAGATGGGGGGTTTATCACTCTGGGCACTTCCTCTGCCAGTGCTGCCTGGCGAGGCTGCTTCCACTGTCCACATAACGGCAACAGTGCCAACATTAGCAGCAGTGAGTTCTTTGCGCTGCTGCCGGAGGAAGTGCTGGGGCCGCCGGGGAGCTCCCTCAGAAGTGGCCTTTGGAGGGACGGGCGAGGGATGTGGCTGAGGGTCCAGCTGCAGGGAAGGAAGCTGCTGAGAGGCAGGGGCTGCCAGTCAGCACCCCCCTTTGCACTTTCTCTCTGAGAACCGTGGGAAACAGGCCTGTCCCACCCAGGGGCGCGGGCGTGGCTCTTCCTCCGTGGCTCTGAGGCGCTGCTGCCCTCCAGCCCTGCCCCTGACGCTCTCAGGGCTCAGAGCAACAGCATCAGCACCTCAGACCTGGGTCCCTGTGACAGCTCTGCAGGGTGGCAGAGTTAGCCCTGCTTACAGAGGAGGACAGGGGGAGAAGCCAAGCGTGCCAGGTCATGCAGCGAGGGTGGCGGAAACAAGGCTGCCCCATCCTTCCTGTGAGTCCTACTAAAGTTCTGCTCTGCCCCAGTCTCTCTTCTGGGCCTGGAACAGCAGGGAACAGACACACGTGCTAGCTCCCTGTCCCAGGCTGACTCTCAAAGGAGACAGACACCTACTCAGCAAGAAGCGTACAGTGCCTGGCAGGAGGTGAACACCGTGCAGGGAAGGGCGGAGGGAGGTGGGAGGTGGGCGTCTGCGCAGCTGCTCAGACCTGGGAGAGAGGGAGGAAACCGGGAGCTCAGCCTGCACTGGTCCACTGTCACCTCGCACATGGACAACTGCAGGAGGTCCTCCCTGCTGCCCTTCATCCCCATTCTACTCAACACACACACATGCACATGCACCATTGTCCACATGCAGCTGGAAGGACTTTATTTAGTTCTGAGTCTGACCACCTCCCTCCTCTGCCTGGAATTCTCCATGGCTCCCACCGCCCTCAGAGTAAAAGGCAAAGATCCCACAAGGTCGTCCACTGTTGGCAGCCCTGTCATATCTCTGACTTCACCTCCCTCCTCTGGCCCTGTGCATGGCTCTCCAGTGGCACTGGCTTCTTCACTGCTCCTCAGTTGCACGAGGAGCCCTCCTGCCTCAGGACTTTTGCATATGCTGCTCTTGCTGCCAGATGGACTGTTCTCTCCACAAATATCCCCCAAGCTTGCTTGCTTCCTCACTGGTTTCAGGGCTGCTTGGTTTGGAAATGGTTTGTCTGTGACCCTTGAAGTTTCATGTGCTATCAGCTTGGCCCTCGGTGGTAGAGTCAGAGTGGTATAGCCTTTAAGGGTTGGGCCTAGTGGAATGACACAAGGTCACTGGGGCTCTGCCCTCAGGAGTGGACTAATCCTGGGCTGGCAGGGTGGGCTGGGTCTCTGGGGAGTGAGCAAGTTCCCACGAGAATGGGTTGTTACAAAGCATCAGCCTGGGCCCTCCTGCGCCTCCCGTCTCTCCGTGTGACCTTTCTGCACCCGACTCTGCCCTGGTCAGGCCCTCGCCACCGGGCTTTCCCTAGAGCGAGCAGATGCTGGGGCCACGGCCATGCTCCTGGGTCGCCTGAACTGTGAACCAAATGCAGCTCCTTATTGGCTAGCCAGCCAAGCGGATTTTCTGAGAGCAACACAAAACGGACCAGCGGAGGGCTTTGCTCCAAGCCTGCTTGCCTGTAAAGTTCCCTCCCCACCTTGCATATGCACTCTGGTTTTGCTGCCTATTTTCCCTCTCCCTGCCCTCTCCCCACTCCTCCCCCTCCTCTGTCCTCCTTCCGCCCCCGCCTCGGTCCTGGGGTTCACACCAGGGGCCTCGCACCCGCTAAGCAAGCGCTCTACCACTGAGCCGCACCCCCAGGCCTTTTTCTTTTTTATTTTGAGACAGGTTCTTGCTGAGTTGTCTGGGCTGAACTTGAACTTGTGATTTCCCTGCCTCGGCCTCCGGAGCAGCTGGGCTCACGGGCGGAGCACCGCGCCCAGCTCAGCCCTCCTTTTCTGGGTCCTGGCTCGTTCGCCATCCACCTCCCCTCCCGTTCCAGGCAGAGAGGCCCTCTGTGTCTGGCTCATGCCTGTAACTACAAGCCCAGGCTGGGCCCCCAGTCAGAGCTGCACAGCTCATGCCCGAGGAAAGAGCACAAACGGAAGGCAGCAGTGGGAGGGAGGCAGGGAGGGAGGCGTCCTAAGCAGGGGACAGGAGTGGCGGGGAGTGAGGCACCCTGAACCCCTCAGCCCACCACAGGGGTGTACACCCCGCGGCTCCAGCCTACAGCGCCCGTGTGGGAAGGTGGCCCGGGATGGGCAGCGCTCCAGGCCTTTGAGGGAAGCCAGAAACTCTTCTATCTATGTGATGCCTCGATCAGAAACCACTGCTGTTTTTAAAAATCCACATCTGCTGTGGACTGGGGTGGGGGCTGCCATGGTCCCCAGGGGCCACCTCGCCGGCACACTCAGTGGTTCCAGGCGTCCGGGAGACGAAGCCCTAGAGTCACCTCCACTTCGAGGCAAGCTGCCTCTTCTTTTCCCAACGTCATCCACCCTCCGGTTCACGCCAGGCCTGGGCATCTTTCCTCCTCCACTCTGGAGCAGAGATCAAAGGTAAATATTGGCGGAACGTTGGCTTTTCGGTGACCCAGCTAAGAGCGGCATCCAGCAGAGACGGTGAGGTTGGGCCGCCCGTCCCGGCTCCACGGACCCCGTTCCCCCTGCGTGTGCCTGTTAGCGCCGCTCTGTGTGGCACTGGGCGCTGGCTTTGCACCCCGCACGGCTCCGAGGGCCTCATCTCGCTGGGGATTGTAGCCGGCGCCTCCGCCCTGTGCTGGGATCAACACTGTGTGTTTATTCGGATCCTCTCGTGTTTACTACAGTGGCACAGAAACACTTTCTGCTCTGGCAGATGCTTTCTGTTTTGTGAAAGTAGCACAAGTACACCGAAAAAAATTCAAACAGCACGAAAATGTTTGGGTGGAAAATATCTTCGTACTTTGATGTCTCCCAGTTTTCTGCTCAGAATACTTGTTGTTGCTAGTTTCTGGTGAAATATTTTTTAAGGGATAAACAAATTTCTTTGTCTATCTATTTCCTAGCCATATATATCGCATACATATAGGAAATATGTCTATGTTTTTCAGTAGTGGGGACTGAACTCAGAGCCTTGTTTGTGCTAGGCAAGTGGTCTAGCACTGAGCTACATCCCCAGCTCTTTTTTATATTTATTTTGAGATGAAATCTTGCTAGCCTTGAACTTGCCCAGGCTAGCCTTGAACTTGCAATCCTCCTGCCTCAGCCTCCAGAGTAGCTGGGATTACAGGTGTTCATGGGGTACCGCTCTGTGTTACCAGTGTTTCTGTATAATTTCTTCCTGCATCAGTGGCTTATGGTCAGACTGTGTCCTACTGTCCCGATGCTAGTTTTTGTACAGCCTGCAAGCTAAGAATGAGTTTTACATTTTTAAATGGTTAAAAAAAAAACAAAAACAAAGGAAGAGTAATACTTTACAACATGTCAGAATTATATGAGAGAAGAATCTCAGCATTCATAAATAAGTTTCTATGGGGACACGCTCGCTGCCTTTGTGTACAGCTGTGCCTGGGGCTGCTTCAGGGCTAGGATGGCACGGCAGAGTGGCTGCCACATAGACTGTGCGGCCTGCAAAGCCCAGCGTGAAGGTACTAGGTGTGGAAACCAGGGCCTTGAACCGTGCTGCACCCCAACCCGAGCGCCTGGGGGGCTGGTGCACACCGGCCCGGTTCCCCCTTTGCACGAGATCCCTAGCGTGCATGACCCTGTCACCGGACCACCCTGCACGCAGTTCTTACCATGGCTCCTACACTCTCATTTCATGAAAAGCTTTCATGTTTTAGGAAAGTCTGAAAGTTCCTGACATGAAATCTCAAGTGGTCAGTATAAATTTGTTTATGTCTTGATTTTTTTCTTCCAGAAATAGGATTTGCAGCAGCTTATAGGAGGAGGGTACATCCGCTAAAACCACTAGGCCAGAGGTGAAACGCCAGGGAAGAGCCAGCGGGGAGATGCCCGCCTTTCCTGGCTCGGGAGGCCTGGCTTATATTTGAGCTGGAGCCTTCGTTTGAGTCGTCTCTGCAGATGATGCAAAACTCCTCGTGGGTGTTTATTTTCCTCGGGAGGGAGGTGGAAGGCAGAATGCCGAAGAAGCTGGAAAAAATGCCAAGCAGGATAACACAGAACAGGGCTTCCTACCCTCTTACTGCTGCCAAATCTAGAAGCAAAAGAACCATTATTTATTTAATGTTTTTCTTTTACTTGTATTATTTCTTTAAAAATCCTTACGTTGGTCCCCATCCTGCAGAATAATAGCCATGAATTTATGGTTCTAATTGATGAGTTCGCCATAGATGTATTTTTTCCAAGGGTGCCTAAATACTTCGGTCTAAGATTATTTTTAAAACACAACCCCCCTCCTCCTGTGCCACCTACAGCCACCCTGCCCACCAGCCGCCGTGCCTGTGTGGAACATTTTCAAGTACTGGGCTATCAGATGCCAGGGATTACATTGCCAACTACCAGTCCTCCCTTCCTTCCAGCTGACAGAACCCTGACTTTCTTCAGCTGGCTCTGGGCCCAGCCCTAGGGAGGAAACCACATTTGATTTAAGCCAACCATGGCCATCTTATGCTCCTGGTCCTGTGACTGGTCTGAGGTGGTCACATGCCCCAGTTCTGGCCAAAGGTAAGCTATGCGGGGCTTCCGGGAAAGAGTTTCATTTCTGATGGAAAGGAGGCAGGGGAGGAGAGACCTGTTTGTCTCTTTTCTTTTTGTGCTGGTTTGGACATTGTTGCATGAAGAGGTGATGAGTGAGCTTCGGCAGCCATCTGTGACACGAGGACCAGCTGAAGATGAGTTGCTGACTCACTGTTGATGTGTAAGCGGAGAGTGCAAAGACCCTGTGTCCTTATGGCAACCTTGAGGTGCCAAATCCACCCAGTGGTCTGCAGTCTCCAGATGTCTTTTAAACAAACAGTAAATGTGACTGCAGTCAACCTACCCCGCTATGACAGAGCCTCTGATCCTATCCTAATGGGCCAGACTGGCTTTGTGCTTTGGAGCTGGACTAGGGTCAAACACTCATGGTCATAGTCTAGCTCCATCAAACGCTCCTGGCTCAGTCCCCCTGCCCAGTGACTTAACTTTTCCAAGCCTTAGTTTTCCTGTCTATAAGATGGAAATAAAAAGACTGCTTATCGCGGACAGCGCCTTTTTTTTGGTACCAGAAATCGAACTCAGGACCTTGCACTTGACAGGCAGAGGCTGTGCTACTGAGCTATATTCTAGGCCCGACAGTAGCTTTTGAGGAAAACAATGTTAATTCATTCAGAACACTTAGAACATGGTATATGCTAACCTCTATCATCATTAGTATATCTTTAGTTTTAATATAATCTGCCAAAAATGGGGGGAAAGACAACGTGGACCGAGGCAGGAAGTTGACAGCACCTAATTAAAGGCCACCAGCTGGGCACAAGATGAGCAGAAAATGATCTAGTGTCAGAGCTGACCGCAAGCTGTCATGAGTCAACGCTTGAGTGAAGGGGGTGACGCAGGCCGGGGGGCTGGACCCCGAGAGGGATGGGCAGGCCCCGGCTTCAGATCTCCTGCTGCACGGCCGTGACTCACACCTTCCCAGGAGCACTGGGGCTACACTGACCACCTCATCTTTTAAGGGTGTGGGCAAGCTGGAGACAGTGGCCAGGGGCTCCTGAGGGAGGCTGGGAAGACTCAGGGGCAAGGTCGTCCCCTCCTGCGCAGAGTGTTTCAGCTACAAAGCAGCTGCTGGCCGGGGCCGCCGCGGCCCAGAAGCAGGGAAGCAGACCACGAGGCGGGGCTGCAGGGTGAGTCAGTCCCCTCGTGACTCCACCGTGTGACCCGGGGAAGCTTCCCCTGTGTCCCGCACCTCAGTGTGTCCAGATGGGTATCGGGATGCAGGCGTGCCGCGGTCCTGAGGCGTGACTATCACAGATCGAAATGCTTATGGCTGCAAGTAACTGGAAATCCGGCAGCTGCGGCTCAGACAAGCGAGGCTTATTCATCTCATCTAATTAAAGGCGCAGCGGGGGCAGCTGCTGGTCTCTCTGGCAGTTTTCGCTGACACCTCTGTAGCCCCGAGAAGTAGGAAGAGGAGAGCAGCCGCAGCTGTCCCCCTCATTACAGAGGCAAGGCCTTCCTGGAACCTCCAGGAGAATTTTCCCAGGGCCCCACATCTGCTGCCGAGGCCTGGGTGCTGGGGAGTGAGAGGCAGAGATCAGGCAGCTGACCTCTGTGGATTCCCGGATCCCAGCGGCAGCACCCTAACCCTGGTCCTAGGCCGCAAGCATCCAGAGCCCTGTTGCCGCCTGCGGTCCTCCCATCCGCACCAGAAACTGAACTGGAAAGCTGACTGACGTGGCTGTCTGGGGGACAGCAAAGGTCCCTTCATCTCTCTGAGCTTCTCTTCCTCACTGGAGCATCAGGCTGGCATCACAGATGTCCATCCGTGCGGCCACCTGGCGCCTGGGCTTGGCTTAGTGCTCTGCTATGGCCGTGTAGAAATTCTGAAGTATTTCAGAGTGAGAGGCCCTGTGTTTCTACATGGGCCCCGCTCAGACTGTCACCAGTCCTGCCTGGTTTGTCATGCCCTGTGGGACCCACACCCCACTGTTCCTTGGGCCTCACTTCCCGTCATCCTCCTGGACCCCTCCTCCTTCATGTGCTCTGAGCTCCTGGGGAACCCTGGGCCTGTGCCCTTCTCTTTCCCCTACCCCCAGTCTGAGGTGACCTCACACTCATCCCCAGAGCTTATTCTTTCAAACAGCAACAGATTCACTTAGCATCTACTACATGCCAGGCTTGTGGTAAGGGTTGGACGTACCTTTTTTTCACTTGAATGAAATAGATGCCCTGATGATGTATGCAAAATGATCTTTTGACAAGAATTAATTGAACACCAGTACATCCCAGTCCCTACTTTGAGATCTTTGGGTACCTCGATAGATAAAATCTCTCCTCTCACAAAACTTGTGATGACAGATGACCAAATAAACCTAATAATGTAGTATCAAGTAGCGATACATGCCATGAAGAAAGCAGAGCAAGCTACAGGTATGGAGAGTTGAGTGGGGTGTGGGCTTAGTGAGGAGGACCAAGGAGGGCTTCTCTGAGGAGACAACATGTGAGCAGAGGCCTGAAAGAGACTTAGGAAGGAAGCCACGCAGGTAGCTAGGCCAGTCTAGGTGGAAGAATGTTCTAGAATGTTCTAGGCCATTCCAGTTACTTTCTCAAAGAGAACCCTGTGACCACCTTTACCTCTAGATCAAGCCATTCATCATTTGCTCTCAGAACTCACGCTCTCAGCTCCCCACTTCCTGGAAAGTTGTCTGACATGTTGTCACTTGTCACACGTGTCCTCCTGCCTCAGAGCCCCCTATGCCTTGAGCTTTGCCTGGATCTCAGGGGTTCCCTCCCGGATCTGTGTGACCATCAGACTCATCCAAGGAATTTGCTGGTGCGACAGCTGCCATCGCCTCTGTGAGCTGCTCAAGAATCAGTCCTCCTTGGTGAAGTGTCCCTCAGATGCTGAGCTGGAGTTTGGGGTATGAGATGTCAGAGATGTTTACCGGGAATCACCTCGCTGAACACTTGAATGAGGGAGGAGGAAGCAGGAGGAGAGAGGGACAGCGGGAACCTCAGTGCCGACTTAGCAGACATGCGGCTCGTGGAGTGAGGTGCTGATGTCCGGCCTGCGCACCCCGGCCTCACTCAGGCTCGGGCAGAGCTGTCCCCCTGGGGCTCCCTGGGGGGAGGCGGCCCTCAAGGAAGGGCTGTCTGCTGACCACACTCCTCAAGCTGCACACAAGGCCTTCCTCGGAGGCCTCTGGGAGCCACACCCCCAAGTCGGCCACACTATCTCGGCGGCCGCTATCTGTTTACCATCTCTTGGTAACACATGTTGGGACAAAACTTTAAAGTTTCGGCACCATGACGGTGAAGCAGTTCTGCCCGGGGGTGAAAAGCTCAAAAGCTCGGCCTGGCAGTCAGAGCTTGATCCTCTAATTGCTCTGGGGCCTTGAGGAAAGCACTTCACCTCCTGAGCCTCTGTTTGTCTTTTGTGAAGTGCCGACTCCTGCCATGAGGAGGAGGAGACCCGGAAAATCTCCACACTGGGCCGGATGCAGGGAAATTGTTCAGAAGATGGTTACTAGAATATCCAAAATTTGAATAAATCATGAACTTCCTCCCCGCAGAAGCCAGTTCTGGCTCTCTCCTCTCAGCTCCCGAGAACTTTCCATGGGCCTCTCTCCTTCTCTGCTTTCACTGTAGCTGTTTGTCTTTCAGCCTGGAAGTACCTGTGTGCTCACTTGTGTGCTCAAGGTCTTCTGATTGGAAGTGACAGAAATGAACAGTGTCCCCTGGGGGCGGGGAAGGTGTGTGTGTCTGTGTCTGTGTGAATGTATTGTGCGAAGGTATCGGTTTAAGGAAAAGTCCCAAGACAGGTTTAGCTTCGGGAATGGCTGGATCCAGGTGTGCCCCTGTTGTTTAGGAATCATCTTTTCTCTGACTCTCAGCTCCATTTTTCTGTGTCAGCTATGGTCACCACAAGTGACAGCAAAGAGAGTCTCCAGCATCCCTGGGTTCCGTTCTACCGGAGCAGCAAACCAAAGGGAGAGAGACTGACTTTTCTACTTCATTCCTCACAAGTCTGAGGCTGTCTCTGATTGGCTGATTTGAGTCACATGCATAACTCAGAGCCAATCCCTGAGGTCTTGGCAGGGAATATGCTGATTGGCCAGGCCTGATCCATCCACCCACCTGGCTCTGGAACTAAGTGGAGTGCTGATCAGTGAGGTCTGGTTGCCCAAAAGAAGACCAGAAGATGAGGCTGGGACAGTGGGACACTGGGACAGAAGATAGGATAGGTGGCCAGGTACAAACTACAGCTGGCCACTGAAGCACCCCTTCATTGTCCTGCTTTCTCTGCTCTAGCGCCTCTTGGGCATGGTCAGTGCTCAATGTTTGTCAAGTGAATCAGTGACTGTATAAGCCAGCCTGGGAAGCGAGTGAGCTCAGGGATAATCTCACAGGGGGAGCGGGCAGCTCTGCTTGCTCATGTCCTGCCCACGCAGCTTCGAAGAGCTCGGCACAGGGGCCCCGCCCTCCACAGGCCCAGGCAGGTGAGGGTGATCAAGAGGAGCCTCCTGCTTCACGGAAAATGCTCAGAAGCCTCCCCTGGGTGATGAGCCGGGGCTGATGAAGGCAGACGTCACTGTCTCTTCCTCCTTGCTGGCCAGCTCTGCGGGCAACACTTTCACCAATCTCTTTCTCATCAGGAACTTCAGAGAATCCTCTTCCTGCCTGAGTCACCCGCAGATGTCTCAGGCGTGGGGCTGGTACCCAGAGGTGGCCCGGCCAGGCTGGGGCGCTTGGGCGCATTGGGTCAAGGGAGGCATGGCATGGCCTGCAGCTCCTGGGCCCTGTGAAAGAAGGGGGCCGGGTAGCCAGAGCTCCTGGATTTTTAAAAAATTGACTTTATATTTTAGAGCATTTTTATGTTCACAGTAAAACTGAGACGGGCCCGATGCAGTTGTGCACACTTGTAATCTCAGCTACTTAGGAGGCCAAGACAGGAGGACCGCATGGTAGAGGCAAGTCTGGGGCACTTGGCAAGATTGTGTCTCAAAATAAAAAGATAAAAAGGCCTGGGGACACGGCTCAGTGGTAGAGCTCCTGCCAGGCATGTTTGAGGCCCTAGATTCAATCCCCAGCACTGCCAGACATGCAGAGGAAGGTAGAGTTCCATACACTCCCCGCAACACCCTGACTCCTTATCAGACCCCCGCCAGAGCGGTTTGTCTGCTACACCCATGTGCCTGCATGAACGCGCCATAGTCCCCAAGGGCCACAGGTGACAGCGGGGTTCACTCTTGATGGTGTCCATCCTAGGGCTTTGATAAACAGTGTGCCGTGTACCCATCACTGCGACGTTAAGCGGGCGACTCCATCACCCCAGAAACCCCCTGTGCTCTGCCCCTTCCAGCCCCCAGCAAACGCTGATCTTTTACTGTCTCTGTAGTTCGGTCTTTCCTAGGCCTTCTGGGTTTTTACTGCCTTTTCTTGCACTGTCTGTGGCTTCAGGAGGCAGCCCATCATCCGCTCCAAAGGATGGCTCCCGGTCTGGTCTGGTTGCCTAGTTTGAATGTTATTCTTGCAAACACC